CCATTACATTAGTATATTATAATAATTAGATCAAATTATTAGACGTACTGTAGTGTTTTAATAATGGCATGCTTTGCACGAGTTTATAGGCAATACTTTTATATTTAAACATACATGAAATGGGTTTTTATTCAGGAGAATATTTTATATGCTTCCTTCTTGTATTTATTTTTAACGTATTGCATTACAATGTTAATCAGTCGATACACGAACGTAAACAAGTGCTAACAGTCACATAAAAACAATAAAGCTGTATAGAATATCACCTGATAATTAAGATTTTACATGGAATCTTACAGTGCGTCTAATAATTTGGCCAGGGACTGTAACTGTTTCTAGAAACAGTAACTTCCAAATACCGATTTTGTTATGGGAAAACTGGGGATCGCACAAAACTGTAAATGTTCGAAAATAACTTTCACGAATAGTTGGAGACGAAAGATTCTCCATCGTCTAATCCCAACCAGCCTGAAGATGCTGCGACGCATACTTGATCAACAGTTAAAACCCTGTAGTATAAACATATAAGTAAACACAAACATGTGACTCATATATTGATGATATATTATTGACTCTATTTTAGAATTCGATGAAGATGACAAAACATGTGCTGGAGAATTAAAAGTAAGTGAATGTGATTTTACAGTCTCTGGTCAAATTATTAGACGCACTGTAAGATTCTGTGTAAAATCTTAATTATCAGGTGATACTATACAGCTTTATTGTTTTTACGTGGTTTGCATTTGTTTACGTTTGTGTATCAATTGGTTAACATTGTAATGCAATACGTTAAAAATAAACACAAATAGGAAGTATGTAAAAAATATTCTCTATAAAAACTAAGTACATTTGTGTTTAAATATATAGGTACTGCATATAAACGATGTAATCTTGAGAAGGGGCAAACAAATCCTTATTAAATAAAAAGGAAAGAAGCATTGGAACTATATATATTTATTAAAACTTAATTTCGCATTTTAAATTCATTCTTCTGTAAATTAAAAGCAGAATATTTTCTATTGTAAATATTTCTGCAATACATCCTTGAATTTTTTTTTTCTGTGTGAAAAATAATTAAATATTATTGATCTAAGACTTCATTTATTTTTTTTTTGAAAATTATATTGCGCTTAAGCCAAGTATTTATAGAAAAAAAAATTTTTTAGTTATCTAACAAAAATAATATTTGTAATCTAGTAATAAATATAAAGTTTTAAATGCTTTATTGAGTGGCCCCTTTGATTTGATACATTGCCTCCTTTACATTTTGCCTTATTTGATGCATTGCCTTCTTTACCCCTACCACTCCCTCTTCTAATTGTTGGAACATTCGGAATGGCGTGTATCAAGGTTATTTTATGTTTTTAACGTTAAGGGTTTTAAAGTATCAAATTTTTTCACTTTTCATTCTTTTTTAAAATTAAAGCAAGGCCTCTTTTTCTCGATGCCCACTCGTACATAAAAAAACATTCTAGTATCAAGCGGGGTTGACCATTTTTTCAGGGGCACCATATTAGGTGGGCCAGCGTTACCCTCACTGAAAGAAAGACATAGAGCAAAGAACATCCATGACCTCTGACCGGGATGCGAATCCCGGACCTTTCTGACATGAGTTCAGATCCCTGACCACCATACAGCCAGTCATTGAGCTAGGTTATTCAATGTATATGGTTTTACGTTAATGTTTTTAGGGTCTGTTTAGAAGAAATTTGGGTCCATTAACGGACCCTTCACAAAATGTCTTTTTATAAAAACGGACCCTTCACAAAATAATTTTATCTTTTAATCGGACCCTTCACAAGTTTGTTTATCTTCATTATTGCTTTATTAATCGAATAAACCCTTCCCGGGGGGAAGAAGATTTGTTCGAGACAAACTAAGTTTCCCTAAGTTTAACTCCAAATGTCGTATTCTAAGAAAATATTTCTACTTTTAGAAACACCGCGCGCGCATTTTTATTAATATTAAACCACTTTTTTTGTAAGTAAATAGTTGATTAATTTATATTTATTCATGAAATTAATTAATAGAATATTATGCGAATAAAAATTCATTTCTGGCATTTTTTTAAATTAAAATATTATAAACTTAAGAATTGTTTTTAAGTTTACATAATGCGTAACACATTAAAAGTAATACATTACTAAGTTGAGTTATTTAAAATATGTTAATTGAAATTATTAAAAATGTGAATGATTTTGTTTTAATTATTCGTCCGAAATGAATATTCTGTGTTGAGCAGTATAGACTAAATATCAATTAATTGTATGTGGCATCTCTAATTTAGTAGCAGCAATTGTTGAGCAGAATCTTGTATCCATTTACAATTTAAAAACTTCTTGAAAAGGTTTTTTAGCAATTTTTGCAATAACAGGACCCTATTTGCACAAATTCACGAAAGCAGGACCCTGGTTGAACGAATGTGACTTAACGCTGATTTTATATTCACAAATTATGAATAGTTTTTTCACAATTTTACAAAAGCAGGACCTTTCACAAAATGTCTGGACAGACCCCTGTCAATGGAAATAAACACAATATGATATCGACGATAAATCCCAACCCCTTATTCAAAACATTGTAATATTTTTAATACATCATCCATTATTAATTATTAGAGTATCTTACTTTAACACATACTAACGTTGATAGCCAAAAGCGCTTTAAGTAATGATAATAACTTTTAAAACGTATTCTACACTGCTGGACTATTGCTAAGGACGGATCACAAATTGCAATGTAGCATAACATTAAGCGAGACATGAGGCCTAGTAGGATAAAATATAGCTGCCACACTGTTCAGACATTAGAATAAAGAATATTCATTGTTCTGGAAAGTACAAGAGCTATGAAACATCTGAAAGAAAAAAAAATTTCATTTGATGCTGTGTACAGAAAAATGGAACAATGCATCTAAATTTCAGCAGGCAACTTGAAGAAAGGTGTCAGTACGGGATATGTCCACCATGGAGTGTGATGCAACATTCTACACGTCGTATCATACTTTGCACAACATTATCCAGCAGCTNGTTCCAAAATTAGCTTAAAAATGCATAAGCATTTAAATAAATAAAAGGATGTTTAAAAATAAATTCGATTAAAGAAAAAAGTGGTAATAAAAATGATATTTTACTGCTTTTACTCTCGTGTTGACGTGTATCAGAAGTTTTGTATGCTCTCTAATTTCTAAGATTTCACTTAAAGATGAATTCCATCACGTTAGATGGCGTGCGTCACCACAATAAATGGAAGCTTTGTATCGCCCCACATGCAGATAAAACAACGAATAATAAGATTTGCTAGGAAATGAACGAATACTGACAAAAAAACGAGAAATGAGAAAACTAGAATATTAAATATGACGTTTTTATGGAAAAAATAAATTTTTCTGAGTTATTTTCGTATCCGCTGAAAGAAATTTAAATGAACAATGCTTTGTTCTATTTCCGCGTGGTTATAATGTATAATTTATCTTCAGATATTTTGTAGTGATTTTTCGTGATACTAGGGAAAAAATAATGTTTCCTTACTTTCTTATTGCTATCTTTTAAAGCCACGAATAAGCAACAAACATTAATAAATTGTCATTGTTTAATAAGTTTTTTTTCCCCGTTAATTTTTAAATAATGGATTTAGAAAAGTAGAATTTAAAATCAAAAATAAATGTTTCGACTTGACTTTGGCTTTTTAAATTACTTTTGTTAAAAATTACATTTTTGTTTTATTTCCGGAAAATCATGCTTGTTATTAACTACAATAATTTTTTAAAATATTTCGTAACATTTAGAATGATGCTATTTTTGTAGTTAAGAGCATTTCTCTAATTGATTTCCATTCCTTTTTTTATCACTGGCTGAGGTTTAGAAAGATTTTTAAAAGCAATTTTTCTATTAGCTGTTTAAATAGAGTTTTCTCTTGAGGTTTAAAATTCCGTTTTCATTTATAAAATGCCAAGTGTGCAGAAATATAATTTTATGTCTAAAAAACAACTTTTTACTGTTTAAAAATGTTGCTCTTATTTGAGCTTTATTTTTTTCGGATTAGTTTTGATTTCGATAAAAAATTCTTCTTCTCTAACAGCAAAAGTAATTATTTTATTCAGAGATTTTAATGTTTTTGATATTAATCAATAAATCATTTTTAAAACTATAGAGGTGCATTTTCCACTAAACATGCTTTTATGACAATGGTACTTTAAAACAGTTTATTCAAGCATTTTATAGGAGATTTTTTTTATAAAAATAGATGAATATTTTAGCTAAAAGTTAAAGAAATATTTTTGACTCTTGCAGTATTCTCGTTTTTTTCATATTTTTCGATAAAAATGTAAGTTTTTTAACATTTTATACATTCAATATTTAGTACTCTAAAATCGACTCCACGTTTAAACATTAGTACTTTGTACCATAGGGAGTACATATGCTACATATTACATTTACTGTTGAACCATAGTGTCAAGTAACTGAATTTAAGCGGTTATTGTTTATGCTATAATATTTTTCCTCTGACACAGTAATAAGTTTGTATCAAATATTAGTGATATTATAGTTTAATATAGTTGCAATTTAGCTCATCAATAACAATGTACTTTGATATATGAAGAGACATCGCGCGTTAACTGGTAGCAATAACCGAATGAAACAACGAAAATTCAAAGAAATAAATTTAACTGAAAGATTACATAAGATAACAAATGTTAAACTTAGCTAAACCATTAATTAGAGCAACTTAACGAACATCAAATGTAACAAGACTGAACATACAGCCGAACTGTATGCTCAGTCTTGTTACATGTGTTGTTCGTTAAGTTATATATATATATATATATATATATAAATGTTTTAAATGTCTGAAGGTGAGACCCTAAATAATATAAAATAAATTATTTAAAAAAAGCAATTACATTTTCTCTCGATGACTTTTTATTATGAACTATTGACAAGATTTATGATTCATTACTAAATTCATAGAACTATTATCAAGATTTGTCATTTTCTTTGTTCATTAATTTCAGAGGAATTTCATAGACTTTTGGGACTTTGAAGACTTTGGAACACTGAATAAAAACGTGCAGGTAATTTAAAGCCCTTCATTATGCATTGCACATGGAACTAACTTATAGGGGTGGTTGACATGCGTTATTTTTGCTTTGGTTGAGATATTAAGTTACAGGTTATTAAATTGAAAGATGTGTTCATTCAGAAAATGAAATGCTTCTCTGCGGCTATACAGTATTCACAATAAATGTTCAAAATTGCCCCAATATTAACAGTTGCAGCCATTTTGACCTGGTTGTCCGGAATTACTTAAATGCGAATTTTGCGAGGCAATGGATCGGGCATGTACTAGTCTGATGGCCAGCTTTTGTAACCGTCGTTGAACAGCCAGCCCAATTTTGGGTTTACGGCTACTAATGTTCATCTCCGTAGCCTTGTAATTTTGAAACCAATCCAGAAGACAAGGTAGCTCATGGATCAAGTATAGAAAGTAATTTGCCTTCTTGGAAGACTTTTTAATGGAACAAACCCGCATTTGCGTAATATGGAGAGGAAAACCACGAAAACCTCCCATGCCTGTCAGCAAGGGGAATCTAACCCATAATCCATCTTCCCCTGAGGATATTTTACATTAGCACTGTGGTCGGTGCGAGCCGGGTGCGGAATTCGTGTCGATCAGCCATCGCTGGGATTCAAACCCGATTCACCACATTGGAAAGCGAATGCTCTATCCCCTGAGCCACCGCGGCTCGTATCCACAAGGCTACGGAGTTGAACATTAGTTGTCGTAAACCAAAAAAATTGGTCTGGCTGTTCAACGACGGCTATAAAATTTTTAAAAAAACTATCCATAGCGCATCCTTAAAGATTAACGGAAAACAAATATTCCGGGTGATTGTCGATACTCATCGAAGATCTTTTTTTCAGCAATATACATAAATAATAGGCTGACCTTATCTAGATCAAAGACCAAAAGATATTTTTCCTTTTCTAGAATTGTGTGATCTCCACAAGAATCAAAGCCATGGACAATATGAGATTGGATCTATTTTGTAAGAAAAAAATCGAAGGATGGATCAGGCACAACATTGAGTATTTCGGCATGGAGTACGGACTATGACTTCATTCTTTTGCTTTCACTGCTCATTATTAGAATTGCATATGAAACTAATTATTTTTGTTCAAGAACAACCGAAGTCTTGAAAAGGAAAGCTTCTAATATTAAAAATAAAATTTAAAAAAATGTATTATTTATGTTCGCATGTTTTGTAATTCCTTCGTCTACAACGTAAGAAAATAAACATATTCTTAAAATTGCTTCTGCAATCAATTATTTATCTAATAATTACTTTAAGCTCTTATTTCTCCGGATATTCGTCTTTAAGTTTTGTGCAGGATTTTATAGTGTTGTTCAGTACTGTAGCAAACACAACGCCATCTAAACACAGGGCTAAAGAGAATAGAAGGGCTGGTTCACTCCTTTTAAGTATCTCTCGCCGCGCCGATCCTCCGACGTCACTCTAGTGACGTCACTTTGGCGCAAAGCTCGCACTTTTACTTCAAGAACGGAGCGTTTGGCCTTACTAGCTCTAACTAATATTGGATCATTTCTTTTTGCGAGATATTCTAAGACATTTGTTATTTTCTATAATGACTTTCCTCAGTTTTTGCAGTGAATTTACAAGAATTTAAAACTATTATCGAAATGCCAGTTTGCGCGATTGCAACTTGCAAAAATTCTGATATAAAAACAAAAGGAAAAAGTATAATTTTTCGCGTGTTCCCTAAAGTAAATGAACAAC